TAATGATATGTGAGCATTTCGAAAATTCCACAATGATTGTAGACATTGATTATAAGCTGTTCTCATACGAGAAGATTTGCTTTCACTTGCTATAAAAGGAAGTTACATTTGAATTAAAAGTGATTTGATGAAGTATGATCATGGAATAAAAAGAGCCTGTTGTGGTAACTAGTTAAACAGATTTAATTCAAAAACACAAAACAACTAATCTAAACTGGAAAGAACAGACAAGCTGACTCTTTCTGCTCAATCAACCCCCTACCACAAATTTGTATCATTCACATCTAATAGCAAAAACACATAGTTACCGAATTCAGATCTTAATACTGCTTCTTTAAAGCTTTACTCAATGTTCAATATACACAAACTACATTCATTGATCACCATTTTCTACTTAACTCATTTCGAAATTTCATAAACATTTCAGTGGTATATTTAAACATTGAATTTGATAGACTCGGTGGTCTATAAGTTAAGTGCTCTGGCTCGAGACTGGTAGGTCCTGGGTTCGAATCTCGCTCGCGAGGCGGAATCGTGGATGCGCACTGCCGAGGAGTCCCATGATCGGACGAAACGGCCGTCCAGTGCTTCCAGGTTTTCCATTGTGGTCTAGTTTCAATTGACTCATGATTTCGACTAAGAAAACTAATTATATAAAATATATTTCATTTTGATGTAGAATCTCTATTGTATAAAGAATCTATATTTAACTAGTATACTTCTCTTTAATGGTTTATGGTAGGTACTCAATAGTAATTTAACTGACGTCTCTCTCAGATGAAAATAAGTTCACATCAATTTGTTATCATTAAATAGATCGTATGTCATGTTTGAGGAAAAGTAACAACACTCATCTATGTAATCAAAAACATGATGACCAGTAAGAGCATTTTAAGTTCTGATTATGGTGTATGCATGAAACTGACTCCCTACAAGATTGAGAAAACAACAGTCTTCCTGAATTAACAATAACTATAGTGGCTCGCACTTTATTAATATTGATCAAAGTTAGTGAAGCCACTTCTCGATGTCAACCCGAGAAATGCTACAGTTCTTAAATAAATTAGTACACTTATATCAAGGCAGTATGAATCCTTTCATTCAGTGAGCTTGAGTAAAGCTTTGCTAATTAGTAGTATATATATTCTTAGTCTTATACTTCTTAAAAGTTTAAGTGAATAGAGGTGATTTCGTAGGATCTGAAAAGTGTTAGGTTGAAAGAAATTCAGTTGATTTTGTGGTCACTAAGATACAATGAGAACATTAAAAAGCAAATGACGAATATTCAGCATTTTGCATACTCAGTGAAACTTTAAGTCTTTGTTGGTTAGTGGTATTTCACAGGAAACTCTGGATTTAGGTTAGAACTCATCAGCAAAGCATTTTTCAGAGAACTGGATCTCCATTTGTATTTGAACCTGATCACTTACTTTCACCACATGAGACGTTACTACTAAAACATTAGGGTTGAAACTGATCACCTGTATGATTGGAATATTTACACTGGTTGATTACCGAATGATAACCAAAATCCTGATTCTCCACTTCTAATTTGTATACGAATAATAGATTAAATACTATTTAAGTAACTATAAGTGAAGATAGAATACAAAATCGATTGATAGTCTACCGAGTGTTGGAATCTCGTGGGATGTGTTGTATGTGTAATGCGAAAACCACAGTTTATTATCGGTTTATTATATATTAGTTTATCTACCACAAGTTTTGAACTTGACCTAAAACTAGTCAACGGAAGACTGCACAGATCCATTACTCACATTTAACAGACATGAGGAATCCAACATGAAATCAATGTCTAATTATATAAAAAAAACATGAAATGTTTTTCACGGATTCGACCGCACAATATGAAAGTGTAGTGGATGAATCTATATCAGTTCTTCGTATGTTTCTAATTGATTACTGATACAATTTGATTTATTATACAGTATAGAGGTTGTTTCTTGTCTAAAACCAATGCTCCCTCTTCAGAACCAATCTATTATAATTTCTAATCTCTTTTAGGGTTTCTTAATAAGAATTCACCTATATAACACTCATAAATTGATCGGAATGTCTACTGCAATAGAGATTGAACTCAGTGTCATTCAACATTGGAGTCAAAATATTATTGAAGACATGGTAGGCAAAGATGGATAGTGGTTAGCAGTGGGATTCACGACGCGCGTCACTTCATCATATTTGGGACTCGTCATATGGATCTACCTGCATCTGAGTTGATGTTCACTCTGAGACTCGAACCCAGTGGCCTCGCTTCAAACGCCATCGCGTTATCCACTCGGCCACTGAGTCCTGATAGCCACTTGCTTTTACAATCATGCGAAGTTTTAAATTCATTTAGTATTGTTTGTTTGAATCTTCCCATCGATGTGTTAGGACCGCAACTGGTCATTCTCCAATTGGCATATGTGCATACTGTGCGTATCGCCTCGATATAGTCTTAATTCACAAGCGTCTTTGCTTACCATGCTTGTGAATTAAGGCTATATCGAGGCAATACGCACAGTATGCACATATGCCAATTGGAGAATGACCAGTTGCGGTCCTAACACATCGATGGGAAGATTCAAACAAACAATACTCAATAAATTATTGAAGACATATTGAGATTATCAAACACCAGGTTCTTTTAATAGGATATTTTGAACTAATTGCAATATAAGATATAAGAGTAAACCATGCATCACAAAGCAACATTTCCTTTAATTAATCACTAAGACTTACCTATAGAACGGATTCGACTATGCATTGCTAGATCATGAATAAACTGTCGATGTTCTCTTATCATATATGTCTGCATATTACGGAAGAATTTTTCGTCCTCTTGAAAAAAACAAGATCATTATAAACAGAGAGATGTTTGATTCATAGTAAATGATGCTCATGATTGGATTGTGTAAGATAGATGTTTACACCAACTATTCCATTGATTATAGTAGAAAATATGGAAAACATTTTTCTCATAAGTGTGTATTCTACTTTGCTGAACTCCTCCTACAGCTCTTCTAGGGTTCCTGTCAGTCTCGAGTATATGTAAATGAGGAGGGTTGTATATGAAGTCAGAATCCCTATCCTATAGAATACGAAGTTGAGAAAAAAAACTCTAACCAGAATAAACAAATAAAACCATTCAAACTCTGACCTCCAAATTAAAGGTTCTTCATTCAGAAGAAATGTGACACCTTATGATGAAAGCCAAGGCTGATGCCTCTTCCAAATAGAACATCGATTAATATAGGTACATGAAATTGGTCCGGACAATATGGAAGACTTGGATGACCAATCAAATAGTTACGGAAATGAAGAGAAGCAACTTGGCTGTGCTCAGAGAAACTGAATCCCATCGAACCCAAACTGGATAGAAAAGGATAGATTTGGGAGAGATACTTCTGTACTTTAGTCACGAAGAGGAAAATTCTCCACATATTCAGAGGATTTATCTGATGGTGTCCAAAGAAGCACGAAATACACTTATAGAATGGGAGTTTCATGGATGCAGGATCATCAATGCATCATTCAAAAGAAAGAAGGAGTAAATTACAGTTAATGTAATCTGATTTTATGCACATAACAATGACAACGATGACGATGATGAAGATCAATTCTACCAGAGGCTGCAGTCGATCATAGAGAAGTGTTCGAGAAATTACCTAACCATCCTGATGGGAAATCTAAACACCAAAGTCGGAACACCAGATATGAAGATATCATAGAAAATGTGAGAACCAAGAGACGAGTTGACATAGCTTCAGATCACTCCAAACTAAACTGAAGCTAGAGAAACATTGGACAAATTGGGAAACAGAATTACAATGATTCAAAATAGCCTTCCTTCAAGACTTTAACAATTTTAACGAGTTCAAGATAACTCTCAACGTCAAATTCCAAATCTTACATGGTCAACTCAAAAAAGAAGGAACTACTATGCAGGATAACAGTAAAGGGACCAGAGAAGCAATAACTTCAACGTATCAGAACGTTCTGCGCCTCAAAAAGCATCATCATAACCATTGAATCTCAATCGAAATCCTAGACACGATTCAAGAAAGGAAGAAGAAGAAACAGACATCAACTGACTACAGCCGAACAAGAACAGAGAAAATCAAGGTACAAGCTGAATACACTGAAGCAAACAAGCAAGTTGACAAACAGAAATATGTGGAAGACATGGTAACCATCATCAAGAACGAACAAGTATGTCAAAACGATTGTCTTCACGGGATTCTCAATGTCCATTGACCGGATACCATCAGTAACAGTCTAATGTGGAGAGAAAAAACCAGCTTCGAGCTCAAGAGGAGGTTAGTAAAAGACGTTGCAAGCGGATAGGACATACATAACAAAGTTTGATGTAGAATACTGGTGAATAGCCCATGTTCCTCCACGAGGCGTAACAGAGTAAGTAAGTATTAAATTATAAAGCATTTGAAAGGAAATTTTGTAAGCCCGTATCGCTTCTTTTCGCTAATCTATTGATACTTATTTTGTTATACCTTCAAATAACGTCAAAGTAGTAGGACTCCTGCCCAATTCCATTGAATAATATATGATCGTATCTCCTTCACAGTTGATGACAAACTCAATTATTATATAACTTGCACTGTGTGATCCCGACTTTATACAGGAATTTAATGTAAGACAGAACTATTTAAAATTACGTTTTATGGAAAGCACCATCTGATTACCTAATCGCATTAAATGGTTCACCGAAGATTTAAGCTGCACGTCATACAGACAACCTTAATAGTCAGTTCCTGAGTGATAAATAAGAAAACGTCTCATATTTTCATTTCAAACACATATTTCAAATTTATCATCAACATTGGAATTATCACAGTCTTCCATTATGAAATACTTCCCTTTCCACAGCTTCACATACTCTTTTATTCCTACCATACAGATAGTAATCTTGTAGAATACATAATGAAATGATAAACTTAGAAATTGAAGAGGGTTCCAGGGTAGAATGGATTACTTACCAGGATGATGTTTTATCTGGAAAAATGCATCACAAGTCTGAATCGTTATTGACTGTGCTGCACTTGCTCCAATACATTTCCGTCGATCCATGTTGTCAGTATAATTTTGACCAGAAAATGGACAACTCGATTTGACTTTCTCATTCTCTTTATTATTATTATTATTTATGTTCATTTGTTGTGAGTTTGTTTCGTAAATTAAACCCTTGTCTTTAAGTTTTCCATGAGACCACCTATAAAATATGAAATCACAGCATCAGTTCAGTGAATATGATATTCATTTCAGAATATATAAACGACAGTGAAGACTCTAAATATAAAGAAATCATTCACAATTCATTGATCACTGGGTGGTGATCAATGTCATGTGTGTCACGTCCTTCTTAATGCTGATCGAATGCTATCGTGAATACTTCTCAGTCCTACAGGAGGTCGGTCGCGGCACAATTAGCTCAGTGGTAACGTCTCTGACTGTGAAACTGAGTGACACAGGATCAAATCCGTCAGGGAGCACCAGTTCTCTCAAGATTACATGTACACCTTGCTGACGAGTGCCAAGTAGCACGAAACCCGGGTCCAGAGTTTCCTGTTGACCACCTCCAACCATCATCTCAAAGAAATCATTTTTTGATAAACATTTCAATGAAATATTTCAACAATTCTTCACATGGTTTTCAACAAACTAGCAAACTACTTCAATGGTGTAAGATCAATATTGGAATTACAGTTTATGAAAATATCTAAAATCTCATCACAAGTTTATAATCGTATCAAATCAATTCTAATGTACATCAACGTTGGATGAACTCCAGTCATAATAATAACAAAGTAATTAGACTTCATAGAATATGATCGACGAATGTAACCGATGGTTGAGTTATATACTTTTCCTAAATAGGTCATTCAATAGAAGAAATAAATTGAACATAGTACGTTATAACATAGTTTCTGTTTTTTTGAATTTCACTTTTCAATTGAACAAAGACGTTAGCTGAATAACCAAGTACATACAAGACTATCCAAACTATTAGTGAACAAACTTCACTGTTCATTTAGTAATGATTGTTTGAATTTTCTCATTTGATGTTTAGAATTGCAACTGGTTAGTCTCAAATGTGCAAATGTGCATAATGTGATTTTTTTCACCGATGAAGCCTTAATTCACAAGCATTATAAGCTAAGATGGATAGTGGCTAGCAGTGGACACCGACCAGTTGCAGTCCCAAAAACATCGATGGGAAGATTCGAACAATCAATGCTACATGAATTTAAACTTCACATCATTGCACAAGCAAGTGGCTATCAGGACTCAGTAACTGAGTGGATAATGCGAGAAAGTTTGAAGCGAAAGGTACTGTGTTCGGCTGCTGTGGTGAACATCAACTCTGAGATGCAGGTTTATCCATATGACGAGTCCCAAATAGGACGGAAAGCGCCTTGTCCTAGATCCCACTGCCAGACACTATCCAACTTAGATTACAAACTCCTCAGTTATTGCAATAGAATTGCATGAGGAGTGAATATAGAAGGGTTTACATTTCACACAGAACATCTTATTATTACTATTATTAAATGAACTAATGACTCTTCAATAATTTGTCATACGATTTTGCACAAATACAAATGGATTCTTGATTCTTTGCTAAATTTGTATCATCTTCATAGGGTTGACACGTTAGTGAAATGCATTCATCAAAATATTTTTGGAGGTGGTTAAAATCTAATTATACTATGAAGGAATAAACTGGTTAATGTTTAATGATGAAATAAATCTTCCGATCATGAATGGAGATGCCTAGTTTCTATCAGAATGATACATAAACTTGATATCAAACATTATACGCCACAGTGTGAAATGTTCATCTGTGCTCACAGGAAGATATTCCACAAACCACTGTGTGGATTGGTTGAAGTTAGACATTAACACCATTGGATACCGGCCGGCTCAGTGGTCTACAGTTTAAATGCTCCGGTGCGAGACTGGTAGGTCCTGGGATCGAATCTCGCTCGTGAGGCGGGATCGTTAATGAGCACTGCCACTGAGGAGTCCCATAATACAACGAAACGGCCGTTCAGTGCTTCCAGGATTTCCATGATGGTCTAGGTTCCATTGAATCATGATTTCAACTATGAAAAACTATGTGTTTGAGGGTGAATTAATGTAACAATAGGCTATCTGCGTAACAATCACAATCATGTATATGATCAGTTATTGTGATATTTATTAAAAGTTGATTTCCCATTGATATACAAATGGATGACATTCACTTACCCACACAATATGGGTCTTAAATCGACATAGAATTCTTCTGAATTCAATTTACCTATTAAGTTCGAGTTGAAGAAATGTAAGTCAACAGTTACACCACAAATAGTTTCATGTAATAAATAATATGTTAATTGACACAACGAAATAGGTAAAGTGAACTAATGTTGTTCCTGATATGTTGATAGGTTAAAGAAATGGCTAGCATTACTAAGCAATGAAATGTATACCACTGATGAATGAGTGTTCATACATTTCTACTTCACTCATCTAATAACAGCTTCCTCCTCACTGCTTTAGTCGGTTGATCACATGAATAGAAAGTTTGTTTATCAGCAGCAGAATCGGACAGTGGACAACACAAAAGATATCTAACAAAATATGATTCAAACATAGTTCTCCAGGTAAAACAGATATTAGCTAACGGAGAATGTCTGTTATTTCCTTACACATACAAACTTGACATTATCAATCAAGCAAATCCTTTATACAATAATTAGTCATTATTGAGTACAATAAATCATTATTGATTTAGAGAGATTTGTGAACACTGTTATATTTAGGATTAGCTGGCATCTCATATCAAAAGCAGTTGGAAATTCCACAATATTGGTAATAAATTGTGAACAGTTTATAAGTTCTAATTTGAGATTCCTTAGTAGTACGCACTAAATAATTCATTCCAAAATAGCACTACAACTCATAACTTTCAAGCCAATCACAACCACTTTGAACGATTGCCAATATCCAATAACCCATTAAACACAAACATCGTTCACTGATTTCAATGTTACGATATCAATCCGACATAATTAAATGCTATCAGATATCACTTTTCACAAGAAATCTGTCAATTCATTTCACAGTTAGTCACTAATTAAAGAACGATTGTTGTTCATGTTGCACAGTACAGTTTGAAGATACGTTTCTTCAAGTACTGAGGTTACATGGAATTTAATGTGAATGAACAAATTTATCAATATGATCTACGGTCTTGTGAAAACGAGCGAAGTTTGTAAACTTGATTTCCAGTTGCAGAGTTGTGCTTCCAATAGTTCAGTGGTAGTAGTGATTTCAATCAAAAATTCAAAAATCTCCATAAGTTCCCTCTTGTTAGATTCTAAATTCATCTTTCTCCTTTAATGACTGAAATAATTATATACTTATTTTGGAATTGTTTTCTATTTTCTTCAATAAGTCACTACACTCATATGATATTTATGAAAATGATTGAGCTTAATAAATAAATGATGCTGTCAGAGGAATAGAACGTTCTAGAAAACTTTGTTTTGTTACCTCACAATGACGAATCTATCAGATTTAAAAGAGGAGGAGTTGAATTCTAGTGTGAAATTCTTTCAACCATCTGGTTGAATCACATTACACCATTATAGATACTGCCAGTTTGTGATGAGAACTCTAAATCTGATTTACAATACTAACATTAAACTGTAAATCTTAATTCGAAATTCTTCACACTACTTTGTAACCTTCAGCTAAGTAAGCTAAGTAAGGTCAATTTATCGTTGCACAAATATCGTCCATAAATTATAATCCCACTCATTAATTTTACTCATTAACTACTAAACGAAAATTTGAAACAGTTGAATGTATTCAACATACCATAAAAGTTCTTTAATGCATTTCTAAATTGTATAAACGCTTTCACTATATTTTCTAAGCATTCTGTAATGACATCTTCATTCAATGGATCTTGAGCTTTAATGGCATTCATAATTTCCTACAAACCATTACAAATTATATGAAAAGATTAGAATGACTGATAAATGAATCGGGAAGAACAAAAATCTAATAAGACGCATAAACTGTATATGACTATATACAATTTTATACAATAAAGCGAAGACGTCAAACAAATCACTTCTAGGTCAATGGAAGAAAACATAGCAAATGATCTAATCTGTACAAATGAAATTCTCGTTCCAATTTCATATTTTCTAACTGTTCCGAGTATTTTCATAGTTGAAATCATGAGATGATTGAAGCTAGACCACCATGAAAAATCTGGAAGCACTGAACGGCCGCTTCGTCCTAATGTGGGACTCTTTAGCAGTGCGTATCCACGATTCCGCCTCGTGAGATTGGAACCCAGGATTTATCAGTGCTTCCAGGATTTTCATGGTGGTCTAGCTTCAATGGAATCATGATTTCAACTATGTAAATACTGAAATCTCCACAAAAGCCCTTCTGTCCCGAGTATTATCAAAAACAAACCTTTACAATCAGTTGTTTATAGATCAGATATACCAAAAGTCTGTTTAGAGAAAACATGATCATATTGTTCATTAATCAACATAATCAATTCATGTTATCTATGAAGTGAATAAGATTCTGTCATCGCTAGATAAATTAGTCAACATTGATCCAATGCTGTATAGTATATAAATCTGTAATATGAGTAGAATCTAATCAAGTCATAACCTAGGTAGGATGGNNNNCGCGAATGACTCAGGTTCGGAAGCTAACAACACCTGAGCGAATATGAACGAGCGAGTGAACAGGCAAACAAGCGAAGGAAACGAACGAGGAGCAAGCGAGCGAGCGAGAGAGTAGCAAGCAATTACATAGGCAATTTATAGTCAAATTTAATAAGGGCACAGCAAAGCAAAACAAAGGCTGATAATAATATTTGTGTGCGTACATATATGGGGAGGAGTATGAGTCATCGAATGATATTTAAGCAGTCAACATTTCGGCTAGAGTGTCATGTGCTCTAATGGTATAACAGTTCAAAGAATATGCAAATTGTTACTATCCAAATGACAATGTCTGTTAAGTAAGTTATAAAAAAGGGCTTAACCAAAATTGGCTATAATCGAAATTGATTGTAGGATGGTTGCTATATTACTCCCCCCTGCAAACAAAGATATATGAAAAAATGTCTGTGTTTGCATAATGTACAGTAAATTGAATAGCATAGTTACAATCAATCGTAGATATGGGCTTGTATAAAATTAGAATGAAGTTAGTGTGTATTTAGTTCGTGCCCGTCCGTTAGGCTATACAAAATAGCTGTAAGGAATAGAAGGGATATGGTATCGCTTCGAAAAAAAAACTACACGTATGAGCATAAGGGTGTACATAAGCTGTGCCAAGTTTAATAGCGTATAGCATGAATTTAATAATCCATATGTATACAATGAAGAGGAAGAATTATAATTAATAATCAAAGTAGCAGAAAATTATCAGTAAAAGATTGTAGCGACATAACGTTGCGGCCATCTTACTCTGCGACCAGATTTTGTCGTTATCGGAGTCTCCTCGTTTTGGTGCGTTGGCGTCGTTGACTCCTGAGATTCGTTTTTCGTCGGTGTGATCGTCTTCGAGAGGCTTGTGCTTGTCGATTGAAAATCGCTATCGATGAAAGCTGGCTTCACACGATCGATACTGATTACGTCTGTCTTCCCAGCTTTTTCTACCGTGACTGTCTTATCTGTCTTCGTAATCACTTTAAATGGACCTTCATAGTTCGGCTGCAGAGGTGGTTGTACGTTGTCTCTTCTGATAAATACGTGCGTGCTATTATGTAGTTGCTGAGGTACGAATACTCGACGTTGTTGTAGTCTGGGAAGTGCTATTTTTAAATCGCTCATGTGTTTCTTCAGGCGTTGGACGTAGTTGGCTACATCAGTCGGAACACTTTTACCTGAAGCGAAAAATTCTCCGGGTAAACGTAAAGTAGTTCCATATACCAACTCGGCTGGACAACATCCCATATCCTGTTTAATTATTGTTCTTAAACCTAACATGACTAAAGGAAGCTTATTAGCCCAATCGTTATCGACAATGACAGATGTAAGGGATGCTTTCAACTGCCTATGTAGGCGTTCAACCATTCCGTTTGCCATTGGATGGTAGGATGTCGTTCGTATACGTTTAATTCCGAGGAGTTCTGTAAGCTGCTGGAAGAGTCGACTTTCGAATTGAGCTCCTCTATCGGTCGTGATAATTGCCGGTATACCATAGTAAGAAATCCAATTTTCGATAAGGGCTTTGGCTACGGATTCGGCTGAGGTGTCTTTTATTGGTACCGCTACAGGCCATCGGGTAAATCTATCGATGCATGTAAAAATATAGTTGTACCCGTTCGAAACTGGCAGTGGTCCCACGATATCGATGTGTATATGTTCGAATCGAGTGTCTGGCTGTGAAAATGAACCCATTGGCGAACTAGTATGACGATGTACTTTGGCTTTTTGACATTTCATGCATGCTTGCGTCCAATTTCGTATATCGCGATTCATTTTCGTCCATACGAAACGCTCACTGATTAATTTCATCGTGGCTTTTATTCCCGGGTGCGATAGGTTATGGATACTTTCGAATACTTTCCGTCGCAATGGTTTAGGAATGAATGGGCGAGGTCGGCCAGTTGACATGTCACATATTACTTTCGCGTTGCCGAACTGAACATCTTCGAATGATAATGATGTCGTGTCATCGAATCTTAGCTTGTTTAGTTCGATGTCTATCTCTTGTAACTTCGCGAGACCGTGATAATCAATTCCATTTGTAATAATCGCGTTTATCGTTGTTCTGGACAACGCATCTGCCACTTCGTTATTATTACCTTCAATATACTGTATGCTAGAAGTAAATTGGGAAATAAATTCTAATTGTCGAATTTCCCTCGGCGAATAGTTATCCTGCTTGGCGTTTAATGCTTTCGTGAGGGGTTTATGGTCTGTATACACTGTAAAAATGGTACCCTCTATCATGTGTCGGAAATGTTTGATTGCCAAGTAAATCGCTAATAGTTCTCTTCCGAACGTACTGTACCTCGTTTGTGTAGGGTTTAATCTCTTCGAGAAAAATGAAATCGGTTCCCATGTACCGTTTACTAACTGCTGCAGTACAGCTCCTACTGCTATGTTCGATGCGTCCGTCATGATGGCTAGTGGCGCTTCGCTCTTTCGTCGAACTAATATCATTTTCTCATGAAGTGCTCGCTTAGCGTTCTCAAAAGCCTGTATAGCCTCTGTCGATAGATGGAATGTTCGGGTATTTCCTCGCAAAGCGTCCGTTAATGGCTGTAGTATTGCTGCGCAGTTTGGAATAAATCGCCTATAATAGTTTATTAGTCCCAAGAATCGTCGTAACTTTTTTTTGTGACTCGGGCAACGGATAATTACGAATAGCAGCAACTTCTGCTGGAACTGGCATGATACCTCGAGAATTTATCATATGACCTAGGAATTGCAATGATTTCTTTCCAAATTCACATTTCTCCACGTTAATAGTGACACCATGTTCTTGAAGTCTCGTGAATAACTGTCGTAGATGTTGTAGATGTTCTTCCACAGTAGCGCTAGCTACTAATATATCGTCGATATATGCGTATACCCCTGTCAAACCTCTAACAACCTGATCAATAAACCGCTGAAAGGTTTGAGCTGCATTAGTTAGTCCAAATGGCATTCGCAAAAACTCAAATAAACCAAATGGAGTGATTACAGCCGTTTTCGGTATGTCTTCTGGGGCCACTGGAATGTGGTAGTACGCCCGAACAAGATCAATTTTCGAAAAAATCGTAGCACCTTCCATTTCGGTAGTGATGTCGTGAATATGTGGCACTGGGTATCTATCTGCTATCGTTTGCTTGTTAAGGGCTCTATAATCTCCACATGGTCTAATTTCTCCATTCTTTTTGGGAACCATATGTAACGGAGATGCCCAGGGACTATTAGATGGCCTTATGATACCAAGTTTCATTAGTTTTTCGAATTCTCGTTTTGCAATGTTTAACCTTTTTGGGTCCAACCTTCGCGCTCTTACTCTAGTCGGTGGACCTTTCGTGACGATATGGTGCTGTACTGTATGTTTAAGATCTTTGTTGTCGTATGATGACCTCGTTAAATCGGCGAACTTATTTAGAAGTGACTTATATTGCTCGTTCTTATCTTTCGACACTACTAAATTCATAGATACATGATCGGTGGTCACTCCTCTTATGACTACTGAGCGTTCTCCATTCACTAGTTGGTTTCGTCGAGAATCCACTAATAGGTCAAAATTCTTTAAGAAATCGATACCAATTATGGGTACGGAAACATCAGCGATTACAAATTCCCAGCGAAGTGAAATATTACGGCCGAAATTCAAGGTTAGTTTTCGTTTGCCATATGTCTTTATATCGGATCTATTCGCTGCTTTAAGAGTTAGCGCAGTATCGATATTTTGTTTTTCGTTGCTCAATGGAGGGACGACGCTTATCTCTGCTCCCGTGTCTACTAAAAACTGCGCGCCCGTTACTCTGTCCTGAACATAGAATAAACGATTGCTCGTGGGAGCTGCGTTGATTTTCGTAGTCGTTACTGAGAATCGTTGGGATCGTTTAAATTTGCATGGAGACCTGCATTTTCGAGCTCTGTACCCAAATGTTTGATGGTACCAGCATATAGCAGGATCTGGTAGTCCCTTAGAAAATGATCGGTTTCTATCTCTTGATCTGCTGCGCGACCAACTTCTTTTCCTGTCGTTGTGATTTAGACTCGTTAGTTTATGGCATAGCGCATTAATTTCCTTTTGCAAGGCCTCGATTCTTTCGTCAACTGTGAAGTTGAGTGTTTGTGAAGTCGCATTTCTCATTCTATCGTAAATCTTATCGGCTATTTTAGCGATATTGTCTATGTCTACATCGCTATCTCCAACAGCGAGGATCTGCTGTACGTTCGGTGGGAGTCGTCGCAACCATAAGTGGTAAAATATATTTTTATCCACAT